GACCTACAGCTCTGCTGTTGAGGAGGGAGACACACACCAGCATAAGCTGAAATACCCTGTCAGTAAAATTCAAGAGAGAGATGAGCTGCTGGACGTATCCAGAGGAGACCAAGCAAGAATGGTAGTGGACCCAGAAAACAGTACCTGAAAGGAGATATTGTTGGAAGTATAAGTTATCTGGCCTTCATAGATACTTGGCCTAAGATTAGTTACATGAACTGTATTTACAGTTGGGGGAGCTTAGGGCAACATACTTAGATGTGAAGGTGGCAAATAGGTGTGCTTATCAGTTTCCTGTGGCAGTAAGGCTCAGTTAATTGCATGTGACATTAAAGAAGTGTTCCTTTTATTGTTTTGCATTTTATTTTGCTGTAAGAGAGGGGAAAACAGTGTGTCATGAAGTATCAAGAACATGATGGCAACAACACATCTTTAATTGTACTTCTTTGACTGTTCTTACCACCATTCTCAGTTTTACGGTGTCCTGCAGAGGTTGTAACCACCAGCATACGCAGTTCGCCACATGCGGTCGTGTTATGTGATTTATATAATTGCATTGCAGAATTCCGTATTACCATCCTCTTATTATTTATGAAACTTAATATATGATTTTATTGGAATTTCGAGTAAATGTGCACAGTGAACAACAGTCATCTTAGAGGTCTTTGGATTCCATTCCTTGCATTAATTTAGAAGCTTTTAGGGGAAAAGAATACTTTGGTTTTTTGCTGCCTGTATGTTGCTTACCATTTCTTCAGTTTGAATTTCATTTGCTAGCGCGTTGATTTTTTTCTCTCTCCTCTTTAGGTCTCTCTCACATTTCTCACTGCCTGGCCCTCACGAACTGACTAACGTTGTGTCCTGTGCAAGTGCTATCAATAAAGTACTTATCCATTGACCAAATCATTAAGAAATAAGTTACCCAGGATTTTAATATGAACCTGGACTAGAATTTTAGGCCAGGATTCATCCTACCTCAGTTTAGGCACTTAATTCAAGTTAAGGTCTAAAAGCCTTATCACTAAAAAGGGTCATCTTGCGAGGTAATTTAACCCACCCCAGAAATGACCAAATCACCAGGTGTGTTCAATGATTATTTATACATTTTAATAATAACCACTATTTTTTTTGTATTATGATGAAGCCAGACCTTATTCCTTGCTGTGATGAAAACCATCTAATCTAATCTTACCTAATCCTAATCTTTTTTCTTTGCTTCCAGACTATTTCTTAACACGTTACAACCGTTCATTTTACAGCTGTTTAGTTTCAACCAAAGTTTATTGTGTGAAATGTAACAGAGAGCTTTTAGAAGACCAATAATTTTTGTCATCTGGTTGCGTTTATTGAAATGTTCAACAAAGTATAGATCCATAAAATGCTGTTCTCCTTTGTAAAATCAGTAGGGATTAGACACTTTTTAACTGCCCAAACCACCGGACAGGGTGATTCTTATGTAGCAGGATTGTTATCAGCTCAGCAATTCTGTATTTAAGGTTCTTCACAACTCTTAAATGTACCTTCTAGCCCTGATATATTCTGTATTCTCCACTGTTGCTACTGTCAAGAGAAACTGTTGTTATTGCCAGAAAAAGATCATAGAGAGCAGAAACCTTCTGAATGTTTTGAACAGGAAAGGTGCATGCAAAAAAAGGAGAATCGTTTGGCTTGCAAACAGTGTAATTATCTTCTTTAGCTACTCCCTTAGCCTGTGCAAATTCTGCTGTAGGCCTCTTGTTTCTGATATACCTAAGGAATATTTTATTGTTTGTTTTTAAATCTTTTCATGTTTGTTCTTGGAAACCTACTTTTGCGCTTTGCAATTTCCTCTTACTTAACGCCTGCTGAAGTTTAAGTTCCTGTTTATTGGCTTCCCTAGGATCATGTTTCCAAAATTTGAAGGATTTCTGTTCGGTAGAAATAGACTCTTGAACCTTGCCATTCATCCGGTTTAGCTTAATCCTGCCTTCCTGGTTCCCTTTCTTGCAGAGTACACCAGCCTTCAGGGACGGTTCCTTTTAAAGTACCATCCTTACTGCCTTTGCTGTCTTAGAATTTTACTTTTAGGCTCTTTATGACTAACCTAAGTTTACAAAGTATGTGAATTCTACTTCATTTCTTATTTCTTACTGCAAAAAACACACGAGCAACTCAGAAATATGAGCAGAACCGACCAAGAGCAAGAGGTAGGACAAAGAAACCAGTAAGGTGGGAGAAGGGGAGCAGGGGAGTATTTACTGTTCCCACTTTTGCTGTATGACTGAACTGAAGGTGGAGAGCTGCCTGCAGAATCCCAGTAAAGCTGAATGAACTGGTATGTGTCTAGTTCTGCACTGATGGCCACCAGTATTTTCATCCCTGCCTACCATCCACTGCTGATGCTGCAAGTTAATGGCAAAAGTTCTGACTGTAGGTAGGCTATCCACCATGTCCTACTAACAAGAACCTTATTCTGGACTGGAAAGTAAAAGGCCTGGCATGCTAAAATCCTCATATAATGGGATGGGTACAAGTGCTATGGCCACAGATACCCTGCCAAATCCAGGCTCTTGCACTTAGTACCTTGTGAAATGTTGTAAATCCATAGTAAGTCACATCCATCACCTGAAGGACCAGCACCTAGAGTAGCAAGGCGGCTCTCCACATTCTGCCTTTCCTTCTGACACAGAGCAGTGCTTCTGACAGACAGCTTCATTTATAGGTAGGAGTTTTGAGCATTAAAGTCATATTTGTCATATTAGAAACAGGAATCAATCTGAAATTAATGAAACACCTATGGAACTCCTCATTGTCTTTCATACCTCTCATTTAAGGTTTTCCTAGATGATTTTTGAAGGTGCATTCTAAGATGTGCGTCCTTCTAAAACCAAAAACGTGTAATGCATCAGTGTTTGGAGCTGAATTGAGAAAAAGATGACCGATGTCAGGGCATGAACTTAACAGTGCTGTAGATGGACAGACTTTTGCCAGCTGCACCACAGGATTAGATGACTGAGTTGCTAGACACAAAACTGCATGGAGACCCCTTTGCCCAATGGAATACGATGGGATCAGCAGATTTGCTGGATTGTCTCTATGATGTGACACCTGCAACCCTTGCATCTTGTCTAGGAAAGGAAGCACTTGCTCTAGCTGCGTTCAATGTTTAATTGAAAAAGACAGAGCTCTGCAAGCATATAACTGAATAGCATCTTCTTTGGCTGGCTCAGAAGTAGATACTTTCTAGGATTTTTTTTTTTTTTTCCACTTGAGAGCACTGGCTTTGTCTTTCAACTTTTGATCTCTGGAGCCATCACTCATTTCTGGTGGCGTTCCGTTTCCTGAGAGCACTGCTGGAATTCAGCCAACTCCCATGTTTTGGTCACCACCAAAGACCTATGTGATTGCCATTTCCTCCCCTATCACACATTGTGAGAATGTATTACTCCCGCCTCAGGGCAGTATCAGATCCAGCACTGTCATTAACTATTTGTGCACAAAACTTCATTGGTTCAAGTTTAAAAAATTGTCAGGGTCTTTCCGTTTTCTCCTTTTTTTCATGAGAGGATTTGGTATTTCAGAATACTTTCAGTCATTCTAGGACCTGAAATCAAAATGCTTTACGATACTTTAGCCATTCGGGGTCTTCCATTGGTTTTGCAAACTGGTGAGAAAGGAGAAGAATATTGCCCTTCAGTGCCACATCTAGGTTATGAATGTCTCTATGATCCAACAAGCATAGAGGCTTCAGATTATGAGAACAGGAGGGGCTTGGCCATTTTATTAGCACAGTAAGCTGACTGGGCAGAAAAAAATGGTAAAAGTGCTAATTCTTTAGTGATATCTGCACATTTCTTCACTGATGTCAGAAATGGATAGCCCCTATTAAAACTGTGTAAGTGTGAACACCCTTTGGAGGACCTCTCACTTTCTGCAGACATAATGCAACATTGATGGTCATGTAGCAACTCTTGATTCTGGACTTGGATATATGAGGTTTATCCTAGCAGCAAAACTCATCATCTAACAGGTGTGTGCTTGTTCAAAGCCACGTTTAGGACCGAGCACTGAAATTTCTTGCTGAGCTGCTGCAGGTTCTTTTTTAATAGAAGCCAGGCTAGGTGGACACAGTATGATCCTTCTGTGTCAAAATGTTTAGATTTATGAATATTTAGGCATCCAGGCAAACTGACCCACATTTCAGAAGTGCTTAGTTCCCACTGCTGCCTAACATACATGGCACCTGCTGGAACTCAACACCTCATAAAATTAGACTGCTTTTAATTAGGTGGCCAAACTTTAGACTCAATCATTTTTGTCTCTGAGATGGTATCTTGCAGACCAACTCACAATAAATTGCACAGAGCCATTTTTAATACTTTACATTCCAGAAAGGTTAGGCTTAGACATTTAGTGTCCAGTCCAGTCCTGTCTGGGTAAGTACCATCAATATTATGCAGCTCTGCAGTTTACAGCAATGCTTGTATTTGCCATTGTTTTTATTATGTGTTATGTTGAATATTTGAATGACTTGCATATTGAAATGTCAATAATTTCATAGTTTGTTGATTAATAGTGCCTTTTAATGAATGCTTTGCATTTAAAAGCCCACTTCTGTGAACACTTCATGGGTGTTTTATCATGCTTACCTTTACCTGTCTAAAAGTATATAGTGAAAGGTAGTCATCAAAGTTCCTTCACTAGTCAGTAGAGAGAGAGTCATCACCATGGGCTGATGCAGTCTGTAAGACAGATGGAGCTGTGTTCCAAAAGGGCCTTTCCTTTTCCATTATTTATGGAATTAATTAATGGGGGGTGACTTAATTTAGTCTCTATGCCTTTTTGGTAATTCAGTTAGTTGCAATAAATTCTGCCATTTCTGTCAGTGGGGTTCTTTTCAGTGGGGTTATCAAGATGATGACTGCTCTAGGTGCCTTACCTTTTTGCAGGGTTGGGTTTGTATTATTCTTTGTAAAACATTTCCAATGAAATTACATTATTGAATGTTTCTTTTTCTGCAGCCAACATCTTGTATATGGCAAGCCAAGAAATGATGAAGGTTGTGGAGAGAGACAGTACAACCATAAAGCAAAATTTAAAGAAGGTAACTGTTTAATCCTCAGAGTTTTCATGAGAAGCCCACATATGAGGAAATGTTGCATACAGTTATATCTGTGCAAAACCAGAATTTCAGCAGGCTTGATTCTGCTTTTATGTTGGTGTCATTCCGTTGACTTTGGAGAAGCTGTTAAAGGGGTCACTGATCATTAAAGTGTCATTGATCCACACCTTTGTAGATGTAGCATTCACCACTATCGGTTGTAGTATCCCATCTGGCATGTTTTCCTTGGTGGAGAAGGAGTCTGTGTTCTGGCTAAGCCTGAGATGTGGTTCCCAGTGAGGCCAGGAGTTACCTGGGTTCTGATCAGACAGGCAGATGGCCAGCCAGGATGTGAGGGCGGGCTGATGGACCAAATCCTCTGACTTTGCTGCTGGACAGGTCAAGCAGAACATGGACCATCTGTGTTGTGTGGTGTCAGTTAATATCATGGGATTCCGCAGGCTTGATTTCTCCATGGCATCAAAACAACATAGAGAGGAGTCAGCAAAATTATTATGGCTCCACAGTTTCAGCCATTCAACTGTAGCATAAGAGAAAGATGGAGAAAGTGCGTTCCTCGGAGACTGGAGCTACTGCTGTACAAGTAAATGAAGTAGTTTTGCGGACCTTTCTCCTGCAGTGCACTTTCTTGTCCATACGGATTTATTGTTGAAAGAGATCCTGGTACGGTTTTGGTCTGGACCGGTAGCATTCTCCCAGTCAATTCCCAGGCATGGTTCAGGGGTTGGCATAGGCTTAAACTGTTCCTAACTGGAGTTTTGATGTGGTCACCCTGTTTTGGAGACTGAGAGAATTTAATAGTGTGGCCATGGTCAGACAATTCTGGATGGCTTATGAGCCAGAAAACTGTCACATTTAATAAATATTATTGGTGTAGCCTCTCTGTGAGTAGATAATCAATATAACATATTATTCTACTGTGTCCCCTTCCTTCCCTCCATTTTTTTGTATCATCCCTGTCTTTTTGCTGGAAGAATGATTCCAGCACTTTGCACTGGCAGAGATTTTCCTTGGAGAATGGAATTTTCTAGGACAGAGGTCCTAGATCTCTGTAAGATTATTTTGTGCCTTGTAAATAGATATGGTACAAAGTTCACTTCATAAATCAGTCTGTCTTTTTTTTTCTGTCTGAAAATTGATTTATTTTTTTTGCTTATCCCATTTGCCTTTTCTGTACTTTGAAAGGTATGTTCAGATGTTTCAGTTCTAGCTTTTTTAAAGGCATTGAAATAGCCCATGTCAACAAGCAACACGACACTGCATTAGGCATGCCTGGTTTTTCACATTTTTATTGCAGAGCATTCGAAGTTCTCCTGCACTTCAGGGAGAATCTCAGTGAAGCAACTGAAGGGCTGATCTTGCAGACTGCAAATATTCTCGTCTTAAACAAAACTTTCCATGGACTGATCCAAAGCCCAATGAACTCAAGGAAAATGGTTGATTTTACTGACTGAATCACCTCTCCAAGAGTCAGGGAGCTGCAGGGTCTGCCTGTTCCTTGAGGGAAAAGGAGCCGTGAGCCGAGGGTGACCCCAGCACAGGCAATGCCCTCACCACGCAGGGTCTAGTTCCACAGCACCCAAGCAGGGCAAGGTAACAGGGTCTATCAACTGCCCCAGACAAGGCAAAGCAATGAACCAGGTCCAGCATCCCTCCAGAGAATCCAGTTGGGAGAAAAGGAAACAGGGCCAGAGACAGGACTAGAGACAAGGCTACAACATGAGTCCAAAGTCCATCCAGGAGATATGGCCAAAGACATGGTGGAAAGCACTCTGCAAGGTGGGATCCATCCAGGTGACAGCCTATGTACAGTGTAGGTCCAATGTCAGTCTAGGACACAGGGCCAGGGCCAGGGCTGGAGACAGATACTCCTACAACATAGCTTGAGAGGCAGAGACTAAAGGCAAAGGACAGAGATGGAGACCCTGGACCTATGGGCACAAGAGTGTGCATCAGGGTCCCGGGTGAGGCTGTTCAGGCCTGCTAGTGCCCTGAAGCTGAGGGTAAGACTCTGCAGGTTACCGTGTTAGTCAGGGTACAAAAGCAAAGAGTTTGCAGGATCAGGACTTCAGGTGCTTTTGGAAATTTTAATCACAATCACACGTGCTTGAAGTTAAGCATAAAAGCTTCGCTGGATGAGGACAATAGTGGTGACAGTCAGCTGCAGCTCCAGTGACTTCAGGTGATCTACTCAGATGCTTCACATTACAAAAATACTGATTTCTTGTACTGAATGAAGGCCCATAGCCAACAGTAAGAATTTGCAGGTGTCCTAGTCTGCTTCATTTGTGCTTTTGTTGACTCTGTCAATCTAAGCTTGGCCTTGGCAGGCAGGAGCTTTTTAAAACCTGTGTTAACTTTCTTTTATTGATTCTTCTATGTGCTCATACTTTTAAAGTGGCAAACATACTCAAGAAAACAAAAAGCTGAAGCAAGCTTATAAGCAGTTGGCAAACCGAAGAAAAAGCAGGTCTAAAAATGAAGCTAAATGCTTCTCTTTTTTCACCTTCTAGTAATTTCTGGGAATGTAAGAATTAAGGAAAAATTTTTGAGTTGGCATTGTGTTAAATTTGAAGCGTATTGACAATAAAAATGGCTTTAACTTATAAAGGTTGGAAGTTTATAAAAACAGGAACTATAGTGCAAGTTGCTATAGAACTGGCAAGCTGTCACTTCAAAAAATTTATACTGTTTAGTAGTCACTGTGATCATATGCTAAAAGCCAATCTTAACACCTGACTTTGCCAGCTGCTGTGGAATAGAAAAGTTATTTCTGGATCTTATTTGCATTCTGTGATCTGAAGAAGAAGGAAGAAGAGACACTAAATTATTCCAATCTTTCCATGCTCAGGTTTAACTATAATTATTACTAGTTAGGGACCAGGAGAATTTTTACCTCCAGACCCCAGATTCTTAGTCTAACAATGCTAATTGCCCAGATTTATGTTGAAAGAATGGGAGCTGGAATATTGTTTGGATAATTAAGTGAGATATTTCACTTATAATCTTCTAAAGACAGAAGTTATGCACGTTAAATAGCAGTGAAACTGTATGAGGAGGATGGAGACCTGTCTTCTAACAAAGTAATATATGAGAGCATTTATAATATTGGCTCTAAAGCTATCAGTCTGGATCGAGCAGGACATGAATGTAGGCTTCTTATTGCAATGACACAGGGGATTCTAATGTAGCACAAAATCCAAAAAAATAAAGTAGAGGAGACATAGAAGATTTGCTCAGCTCTGATGGTTAATTATCATTAGCTGGTTGTGTCTAAGCCAGCTGAGCGACGTTCTGTCACTGCAATAACACCAACTCCCTTTCCTAACAGAAACTGGAGGCAAAGATACTACTGTACTAGAGGAAGTTTATTGTCATTCTTGCACAAAAGGAAGTGGGTGTCATTCCCTATTCTTAAAAGATGGATCAGCACTGAGCATCATGGAGCTTTTACAAATAGAATGAACATTTAAAAGCAAAGGGGAAAAATGGTTATGCTGGGTATTCACTAGCATGCCTGTGGTGGACAACGATATTCCCATATAGAGGCTCTCTCCAATACTTAACTTTTTAAGTCTGCATCATGCCACATCGACTGCTTTAAGACTTAGCCTTATTGACTCTTTTTCTGTCAAGTAAACTTACAACCCTGTTGTAACCAAGAAGATATTGCATTAAAGGTTAAAACTAGTGGGCTTACAGAGGGAATTTTGCTTAAAAAAAAACACCCCTCAGATTTTATATTCATTGAGATATATTTTGCTCATTCCTTGCGTGTAATACACAGTAGTCCTATTTTTAAGTGTAGAATCTGCTCCAAAGCCCATCTAAATCAATAAGACTTCAGGAAGTCTTGAATCAGTTTGGAAGGGAACTTACTGTAGTGGTTCCTAATTTCTTAAGACCATAAATCATCTCCTCCAGCAACTGAGAATTACGATTCTTTTGGTTAAAGTGTTAAACCAAAGAAAGTTTATATGCTCCTTGAGTTTAGTTTTGCCAGTGGTCTGGTGTAGCAGATAGATCAATTGTGTAAGGAAAAAGGCAGGAAACATCTGAAGTAGAGATACAAAGATGAAAAAAAAATTCTGTTGTCTGGGAAGAATAATTTCTAATCAAATGGGGAAAAGTATGAACTGGAAGTTTATGGACACATGAAACTATTTTCGATCAGATTGAGGAAGCCTCTATTGTGGGTGGCTTATAACCACCCATATATAGATGGTTAGGTGGGGAAAAAAATAAGTTTTGAAAAAATTAAATTAATAAAATATGTTTACCACTTCCTGCTTATTTCAATGGTGTATTTAGAATTTAAAGTAATACAAGTCTATAGCACATCAGTAATACCACAGAAAATGTGCTTTCCAGGAGTGTCAACTAAACAGCGATATGCAGAGATTTAGAGGAAAAAATTGCAAAAATGAAGTATTTCCTTTCCACAGAAAAGTGCTAGGTTTCTCTTTTGAAAAGCTGTCTTTGCTAGAGAAAACTTTTAAAACTGAGCAACCAAGAACTATTCTGACCCCTGAAGCAGCTGTTTTGATGTTGCCCAGTGTTTTTTGTTTGAGTCTCTGTAGGCATCCACAGGGGTTTAGTAATTATTCCCAGTGAGAGGAGCATGATCTGGAGAGAAGTGGTTAAAAGAATACTACAAATACTTTGCCTGCCCGCAGCCCGAGTGAGTTGCTTGCCTACATTTGTGAAAAACCTTCCAAACACTTTTTCTGAATAGGTGCAAAGTGCTCTCCTGAGCCAAGAACACCTCTTTTTTGGCTGGTCTCACATCCTTTTTGGCCTGCGCTCCCTGGAGGTGCGGAGTTGAAGTTAGGGAAGTTGCACATGTGCTTGGGGATTTTGGTGCCTCTGTCATTTAACCACAAAAACAATCTTCTCTTTGAAGCACCTAGAATGCCTAATCAGGGATCAGCAGTTTCTCCCCTCAGTGGAAAAGAATCCCAGTGAGCATTCAAAAAGTTCAG